TTCACTACTTTAAACGAGTTATAAAAATCCTAATTTAAATTGGTTGCCAACCTTGCCAGAATTCCAAAAGAGAAAGAGAACTGCAGTCGTATTCACAAGTACCTACTAAACTACTAATGTAGCAAGATGCAAAATGGAGAAAGTCTTTAAGCAAAAGCAACCTATTTCTAAAAAAATTTCACAAGTTTACTTGAAAAATATTCCAACACACTGACTTAAAAGGTCCATTTAATTAATTGAAAAATACTTAAAACCAAATATGTTTCTCAAACGGATCAGGATAGGAAGAAGAACAAAAAAAGAGAAAAGAGAGAAATTTAACCCCATACCTGCGCAATCCTAAATCAAGCTGAGCCTCATCACTGATCAGTTCTGCCTCACTCTGGGCAATTCTCATGGCAAGTTCATGATCACGACGTTCTTGTTCAAGCACTGCCTGGTGCTGGGTTTCCTCTTCTCGTTCTCTAGCTAGCTGAGCCTCAATTTCAGCCTGTTTTACAAAAACACACCTTTAACTTTACCCAATCAAAACCAAAATGCTACATAAAAAAATTATTACAAAAATATGCCAAATAGTGTATTTATAGCTTTCCAAACATGCAAAATTTAAAGAAATGAAAAAGTAATAGCATCAGTATTTAGTTTGACTAAAGAAAAAGAAAGCAGATCCAGATTGCATCTTGGTTTTCATATAGTTTGTCAAATCATTATGGTCCACGACTTGTATTACCTTTTCAAATTAAAGTGCCAATCACTTATTCCTTATTTAAAAAACATATGAAGCTTTTTGTTAGCTACTATGAAAATTGTACTTCAAAAGGTTTTAGAATCATTAAAACTGAGATGACACAGAGCAATATGGTTACTCCTCCATAGCACTAACACAGTATTCCCTCAATATTCTGCACTTGGCATTACAGGATTTTGCAATAGGCACTGCTTTGCATATAGGTCCATGGTTTATTTTGACAAGGGATCAAGACAAACACTGGAATCCTCTGTGGATCTGCTCTGGTTTTGAATTTAAGCAAATGGTAAAATTCCAAATTCCTGCAATGTAGGAGCAATCCAGACATTCTGCCTCTGCAGAGCAAAACCATAATTCCAATTTACTATCATTATTTAACAAAGGGTCTTTCACACACAGTAAGTAAAATGTGACCATCCAATTCATGCTTGTGAAAGTCAAGTCTTAGAAGTGCCTTTCTTGGTGCCCAAAAGTTAACAAAGGAGACAAAGTCACTCACCATCATGAATTTGTACCACTAAAGCAGTGCAGTAACAACAATGACTTTACCCTATTAATCCTATTTTAGATTAACTGATAGTAACAACTACCAGGAAGGAGAGAGAACGAGTAATTAACTGTATGTAGAGGAAAGAAATACCCTACTGGGTTATGTATCTGCTTTGTACCCAAACACAGTATTTCTAAGTAAAAGTGTAAATGACTTTCTGCATTGCAGACATCCACATCACACCTGAGAAACAAAGAAACATAAATAAAGAGAAGCCCTGGAGATGCTCATAGTGATTACAGACCAGTTTCTAAACTTTCTAGCAACATCTTCCTCCCTCAGTGGACAAAGTTTAATCCATTTAAACTGTTCCTGAATGGAAACTTATCCTCTGAATTTCTCTCAAAACACCAGACACATCTGCAATGGTCTCCAAGTAATGATTTAGAGACTAGCCAAATAGCAGTTTACTCTTTTTATGTTAAACTTCTGCAAAATGGCAGTGCTTATTATTCTGATATAGGTGACAAACCAAACAACATGGAGGAGATTCGTTTTTCATCAAAGTTAGGCTATAATTTATCTGTTAGTTCCAATGTCTTGTTTATCAAGAGTGAGGGTGAGGTGATAGAAACGAGTATGCAGACCCAAGAAGTATAAGCAGTGCTAGGCTAACTCCAGGGATAAGAAGATACAGGAGAAAAAATCTGCTTCTGATTAATCATGGACAGGGCTTAAAAGAGTCCATAAACATCAGTGACCATGGCCCTGCACTTGCTACAACTGCCCCTACAGAAAAGCTTTTTCTCTCTGAGGTTGCTCTCCCAGGTCACCCAGGCAATCTCCAAGACAAGAGGAAAACAAGAGTATAGGGGCCCAACACACTTTAGAGTGAGAATTCATGATGGGATCAGTAGGGAGTGTTAGGAATCAAGGGGGAGTGGTGGAGGAGCAGGGTTTGAACTGCATGTATTTATTTGACATTAATGTAGTCAGTAACTAGAAAAAGACCTGTATCCTCTCATTATTATCAATATTCTGAAAGTGTTTACAGTTAAGCCAGTACATGACACAGGCTTGAGACCAGATGTGACTTCTAGTAAGAGTGCCAAACTTGCCTGACAGGGAACATCTGCAAAAACTTCAAATGCTAAGCTAGGATTATCTACTGTTGTGTATTTTTAACTTTAAAATAACTTTTTAAACCCTTTAAAAACAACTTTTAAAACCCTTTAAAAACAAATGCACCTCTGCTCAGAAGACCTGAACTTGCATGTGGACTAGAAATAGGTAATCTACCTTGGGATACCGAAATAATGATTTTGACCTTACATTTACTACTAAAGCAACATTGCTGAATGACTCTGAGACATGCATTTATAAAATAAAGCTGTTAGACTCAATGGAGAACCTAACCTGTAAAACAGATTTTAAAAAAAAATAAAAAAGCTCCAACAGCAACAAAAAAACTCCCACACAGCTAAAATATTAACCTGAATACGCTTCTCTTCCTCTTCCCTCTTTTTCCTCTCTTCCTCTTCCTGTTTTCTCTTTGCCTCAATCTCAGATTTCCTAGTAAAAAAGGGGAGGAGGAAATGAAAACATTATTAAAATGAAAGTGAACAACAGATAGGAAAGCATCTTCCATAAAACTGAATGGTAATCCAGAAGTCAGTGAGGTCCTGCTGACAGGACACACCATGTAAAGTCAGGAAATTCTCCAAGTCCATCTGTATTTCCAGTTGCATCATATCGTTCCTTCCATACTCTATTGGAAGAATGACTACATTTACCTTATAAATCACCAGGAAAGGAAATGTTTTAACGCTGCATAGCACACCAGGAGTACAATCCAATCGACTCTCTTTAAGCATAGGAGTATTAAAAAAAACTTCATTAAAGTGCCTTTCCTATTTTCTTCTCATTCAAAAACCAGCAACTTATTCAAGACTCACAGGCGTCTTTCCTCCTCTTCTTTCCTTCGTCGTCGTTCTTCCTCTTCACGTCTCTTTCTTTCTTTTTCCATTTCCTCCTGGATGCGTCGTAACCTCTCTGCTTCCTCCTCTTGCTGCTTCTTCTTTTGCAGTGCGCTCAGAAGCTGCTCTGAGCTTCTAACTAGAGCATCATATTCTTTCTGTATCTGTTCCCTAGTCATTATAGTGGTCTGTAAAATGAAATAATAAGAGGGGATTATATTATTCCACTTTTTAAAAATGTATATTGAAAAAATATTAAGTTAAATGAGAGCATTGAGTAGTACAATTAAATTATATATACAGATCAGGGTGGGGGAGATTTAGCACCTTTAGGTTTCCTTCCTAAAATCCTGGGGAACCAATACTTTCCTCTAGACCATACGAAGTAATCTCCATTTTACCACTGAAATTAAACATGACTTCTCTTTAAAACATGCCTTAATTTTTTAAACCTCGCAGTTTTAAGCAAGAGAAATTAATTCTTACCATGTTAAGATGAACAGTAAGGATCTCCTATGTGCATTTTGTGTTGCGTTCTTAGCTTCTACAGTGGTTACGCCTTTTATGTTATAGCACAGAGTAGTTTTTCTTACTATGCTAGCCCTCAGAAAAAGTATTGGACTGTGCTATGACTAACTTCTTTTAAAAAGGTATTAGTAGCAAATAACAGCTTGAAAATACTTTAAACAATAGCCTTTGCTACGTATGTTTTCAAACTTCATTCTACAATTTAATTTAATTTTACAATTCACATTGATGTATACTAATAAAACTGTGATATGGGTGTTTGCTGACCTTTTCTGAGGGTGTATCATGATGATAATCAAATTGTTTTATTTTTATTAGAAAAGAGAACTATAAATTGACTATCACCTTTTCAACTGTGATTTTAAATAGAAAAATCTTAATGCAAGACACTAAGAAAGGTACAACATTGCATGAAACAAAAATCCAACTCATGAATTTTTTTCCAACATTAATAAATCCCAGTGTTCTTTCATTTTGTCTGTGTGCTTTTGTGGTAAGAAACTGAGAACTATAGACCCTGAAGCATAATCAGCAAGCTGAATTCTTTATACTACCAAGTCTGAAAAAAATTCGTAACTGGATTATAAATCTCTTCACTCTATGATAAATGTTCGTACATTTCAGGCCCGAGTAATCTAAAATATTGCTGATATGCATTATTCTATTAATAAAACTAACAAGGAAATTATTAACAACACTTATCTCACAATATCAACGCGCATTTTTCTTTTAAATTCTCCAGTGCCAATTTTGAAACACAGATAAAAATACCAAAGTCTAGATATATGCACCCAGTTTCAGGATCCACTTCAGTTACATTCACAAATAATTTTAAACAGGATTTAAACAGATGCAGCACCTCTGAAAACTAAGCACTCTATATTAAAATGCCTTTCTCTGGCTATTATAATACCTTAATTTTGGTCATTGAAGCATCAATAGAATACTCCAGCTCCTTGACCTGCTTGCTTGTCTCTGCCTTCCCCTCCTTCAGAGCGCTTACTACTTCATTAAATTTATCAAGTCTCTTCTTCAGCGTACGCACTTTTATCAGGCCATCAATGCTGTGAAGGTAAGACAATTTAGTTGTATCTTGACATGTTTTTATACGGTGATATTTTTAAAACTACCAATAATCACTCATATTAAAGAGGTAGATAGAGGAGACAAGTTGTGCCTTCTGAGAAAACTCATTCTCCTTTTTTGAAACTCAAACATTATCACATGAATTTACTAAGCAATGAAGCCTTTTGAAAACAATAAATAAAACTGAGTAGCAAATGGTGACTCAAAATGGAAAAATGCATTTTTATTTTGTGAATTAATGTGAGTTGTGGTTTGTTTTGTTGGTTTTTTGGTTTTTTTTTTCCCCAATAACGAATCATTAGTATCCATTAGAGGATTTCAACCAGAGTGAATGAAAGTTGAGTTGTGTCACATACTTAATGAGCAAGAATGGAATTGAATCAGATAAAACTTAACTACACAGCAGGGAACACAGTTATTAGACACCACAAGGAAAAAAAAAAGTCTAGGGAAAAGAAGAGTCCAGAAAAACTTGGAGCTTTTTAAAGAACCAATACTGAAGGCCACACACATACAAGTTACAACTCTGCAGAGACAGTCTTCCTAGAAAATCACTGAACTGGGTTTCAGGAAAACACACACAAAAAGTAGAAACTAAATCAAATTATTAAAGATGAGTACAAAACATCTTAAAAGCATAGGGAGACAGAAATGCCAAGGTACAAAATGAAACATAACTATCAAAGGATGTAAAAGAGAACATTTTATACAAATCCCACTATGAAAGTATAGAGAGTTGGATCTCTATCAAAGAATAAAAAGGTGTCAGCAGAGCTTAATGACCAAAGTGGTTTTTCCATCAGTATTCCATGCAGTCAGATTAAAGCTAACGGGGTTACTTAATTTCAAGAGGAGACAAGACAGGCAGAACATACAATTATTTTGAAGATAAAAAAAGAAAGGGGTCCTAAAAAGCAAGGTGTGAATGGGGAAAAGGACAAAAACTGATGACCTTAAATTTCATATAGAGAGACTTAACTAAGGATTTCTAATAATTCGGCTATCACTGAAGGATTTTATGAACAAAGAGCTAAACAAACATTTCTTAGGAAAGGTTCAGATTTAGTCTATCCATCCTTGGGAAAGAGAGGAGGAACACAGCACCTCTCAAAGTCTCTTTCGGTCATACTTAGTATCATTCTATGACTTCAGCTGTATTTAGTTAAGCATAATAAATCTCCTCCTTACATTCACAAGAAAACATTATTAAAAATCCATTTTCTTCAACCAAGGAATATCCTCTTACCGTGGTTTGTGCTTTCTCTTGCAAAGCCACATACGAATGGTCTTTTGTATTTTAATGCAGGCACTGGCTCGATATTTTATCTTATTTTTTACTGTAAACACACAGAAGATATCAAGTCTTAATGGTTTATATAATATTATTTACACACTTGATGGCCCAAAACTGTATGTAGACTAAATGTGCTTGTGAGCTAGGTCTGTATCAGAACCACAGCACTTAAGACACAGCAGACAGTGGAATTCACAATCCTGAGCCAGGCGCAGAGACTCCCACCCAAAACAAACAGGAAGAATTAAGTGTGTGCACACTCACATGCCTGCACACACCTTCCCACCCTCCAGATTCACAGAGATCAGTAACCTCAGTGAGAAGCCACTGGACCTAGCAAGCAGGAAATGCTCAGCTGGACATCTAAGTCCTGCACTGAAGGGTAATGAAGTAGCCAACACCTGCTAGAGAGAATAAAGCGGTTGTAACTTTGCTGAGCATTTCTCTGCAACACTGAAATGAAAGAACACAAAACAAAACCTCCAGCTGTTCTTCTAATACAGCCTTCATCTAAAGACTCAAATGACTGGGACCAGGAGGCAAGTTAAACAGAGAATCATGTCAAGGCAGAGCCACAAACATGAGTGCCGAGAAGCTCAGAAGTGCAACAATAAATGCAATTTTCACATATCTACTGGAGGAAGCACAGACACCTGAGGATCCATGCTGCATTTAGTCATCAGCTGAGCACATGGTTTGTGAATACAGTGACATTTAACTACTGGAGTTATGTGATCACAAAGATGCGCTCTACTCCTCATGTATCTATTTCCCCTTTATTCTGGGGATAAAATTAGCTTCTAATTTCCCATAAAACACTACCAAAAAGCAAGGTACATCAAAGTAGCACATTATTTCCCTGGGTTTGTACTTTTTGGACATAGTGACAGACTTTCTGTCCTATCTTTCTGAAAAATAGGCTAAACGTCATAAATTTCTAGGTCAAAACCATGATTTTAGTGTTACAATTTCTGATGTCTGAAACCTGTATTATAAGAATTTACAAATTCTATTTTCCCCAGTATAGTATCAAATACAATAGTACAAATTAGTTGTAATAGTACAAGACAGTACAATTACAAGTAGTATCTGCTTAACTTCAGAAGAAACTTCTTTACAGTGAGGGTGACGGAGCACTGGAACAGGCTGCCCAGGGAGGTTGTGGAGTCTCCTTCTCTGGAGACATTCAAGACCCGCCTGGACGCCTTCCTGTGTGATCTCATTTAGGTTCCTGCTCTGACAGGGGGCTTGGACTAGTTGATCTTTCGAGGTCCCTTCCAATCCCTGACATTCTGTGATTCTGTGTGATTCTGTGATCAGTGACAGAAGTAGATATCACAATGTGCTGGCTTAAATGCATTAGGCCTTCATGCTTTTCTTCCCCATCTTAATGTATACTTTCCATCCTCCGTGTTATTATAGATTCCCAATATCCTTCATCAGATCTTTCCCGATCTCCCAGACACCTTTACTGAAGCACCCCACAAGCGCTAATCTCTGTTCCACACCATCTCATTCCTATTCTGCACAGTAAACTGGGCAGGCCAAGCACTTACAAACTGCATATCAATAGAGATAGGCACTTATTTGCTGATGAGCAGTAATTGCTGGAGTGGAGATGTTTGCCCTGTAATTCATGTCAGTGCTTTGAAACCTGCAGTTTCTGTCTGGAGATGACAACATCTGTGCAGGCACTTCCAGAACTAAACAACTCCATGTTGGCAGCTGACAGTTGAACTACTGTTCTTTCCT